CTCACCTGAATGCAGAGGTAACTAAATTTATATAACAGAATATAGATCTTCTAAATCTTAACAATGTAAACAGAGTAGATATTATTGTTATTCTATTTCTAATGTATGGCATATAACATAATAATATACAGTATAACACATACACTGCATGTAGTAGAAAGTTATATATAGTGTTATATATAGTATTTAAGTATTATATGATATAATTTTGTGTAATATATGAAGTATTAAATATTATATAATAGTATATAGCATCATATTATAAGATATGATATTATATATTTTTTGTGGAGATTAGAAATAAGAATGTGGTGGAGCATTGTCAGCAAGATCAAAGAGAAAGGCTGCCTGTAATCCCAAGGACTCAGGAGGCTGAAGCAGGAGGATCACAAGTTTGAGGCCAGGCTTAGCAATTGAGCAAAAAACCTTATTTCAAAAACCAAAAAGGAATGGGGGGTATAGTTCAGTGGTGGGCTGTCCCTGGGTTCAATTCCAGTACCAACCACCCCAAAACAAAACTAAAGACAAAACAGTTTTAAACCTATAGTTGTAATACATGTATGTGTGTGTGTGTATATATATATATGTTAATATATAGTATTACATACTATAATACTCCATATTATATATTATAATGTTTAGAATATACTACATAATATGTGATACACAGTAAATAGTATAGTATATAGTATTATATATAACTCAGTATTTTATATATATTGCATATTATTTAGTATATTTTTATATTAAGATTTAAAATATATACTTATATCAACACAGTGTATATTATACAATATTATGTATTATATAGTATATTATATATATGGAGTATATAATATATGATATATACTATATACTAAAAATAAATTATAGCAAATATTTATTTTTAGTATACAATATGAAAAATTATCAAATTCACGCAGATTGGAAGGGAGAGAATATATGGTAATTTTCTGAGCTTTCATAGCAGGGAGTTAATATATTAATATATACATTAGGAAAGAGGAACTGAAGTATTATTTAGCACAGTAAATGTTGGCTATCAAGTAACCAGAACACAGACACTTTCCTGTGTTGAAGATGCAGGGGAAAGAAGGGAGACCTTTTATTTTATATCTTTATACGGTTTCCCTTTCTGTAACACATACTTGTAATTTAAAAAAAAAGCTACAGTAAATAATTTAAAATTCAAATAATAAAAACACTATACAGCAATTGAAAATAATGGGAGTAGATCTGCTTATTTTGGAAAACAGTCCCTCATATAACCTAGGTTTTTAACCTAGGTTTAAAAAGTAACTTTTTGCACAAAGAAATGATAAATATTTAAGAAGCAGTGAGTGCCAAAAACACTGACTTAACCATTGCACATTGTGTGCATGCATGGATATATTTGTACAATTATTACGTGTCAATTTATTGAAAAGCAAGTTTTTAGAACAGTGTGTGTATATATATATAATTTTTGTGGGTGTGCACACTAGACAAGTGCACCATGTCTGAACTGGCCCCCAGATCCCCAAACCATAACACTTAATTATGTTAAAATAAACACCAAAACTAAGACACAAACCCTGTCTTCAAGAGTCTCCTTGACTGTGGGCCCCTTCTGTTTTCCCTGCACAAGTCACATATCTACTTCTGGAAACTCTTCCTTTCCCAGATCTTCCTAAGATGTGTGACTCTTTTTGCAGTGAGTAAGAGCTATCTTGTGCATGTTTCTGGTAACAGCTGGGAGTTCTTGACTGTAAGTGTCAGTTCAAAGACTGGCCTAGAGGAAATTGCCCAAGAGATGAATAGCTTTATACTCAAATATTTGGTGGAGGGGAGCTGAGTGGGGATGAGTATCAGAGGCTACAGAATGTAGCTCAGGAGCTCCTGGTCCCCTGCTCTCATTCACATGTAAGGAACATACGTGGGGCCAGGAGGAAAGATCACCCAGTGGAAGTAGTGTCCAGGAAGGAGATAATTTGGCTTGTTAAAAAGCAGAGTCAGGCAGAGACCCAATGAGCATGGAAGTCTGAGCCCCAGCCTGATGCCAAGCCCACAGGAAATCCTATGGGGAGAGGGGAGGGTGAGAGGGGGTCCCTTCAGGAGCTGCTCAAGTAACCTGCCCCAGACCCACAGCCAGCAAATGGCAGTGCTAGGATCTAAGCCGGATGGTTGAGATTCAAAGCCTGAGCTTAGGCAGGAATCAGAAGGTTCAGATTAACATGTGCTAACTCATTGATAACAAGAACAGTGTTGTTCCCAAACAGGGACACGGCACATGCTGTTCCCTCTCTGAACCCTGAAGAAGGAATCAGCCCCTTTTCACAATCCTTGGATATCCAGCTGTCTTGACTGGCTCATGGGGACTAGGATTCATGTTTGCTCAATGGGACTTTGAAAATTCCCACCTGGGAGGATACTGGCATTGGATAACAACAGTGGGGGACCCTCTGGCCACAGCTCTGAGCACTGATAGAGTCTCCTGTGGACAAGAGAACTGACCATGATGTGGCTCAAAGAGATGGGTGAGGACCCTGCATAAGGCAGGGAGGAGGAGAGAAGTTAAGGTCTAGAAGTCTTAGTTTTCCATGTCCTCAACCCTATCTCTGTCCTCTAACCAACATCAAAGGCACATTAATGTTCCTGGCCACCCCTCACAGCTGAGCTGGCCCAGGCCTCCTGCTGTTCCTCTCTGGGAACTTCAGCCTCCCTCAGTCTCAGGCTTTTGGGGTGGCAGGGGGTGGGGGCAGGCAGGCGGGCCCAGGAGAGTATGTATGTCAGTTAAGGTTTGTCGTTCACACGTGGAGATCATTAACGAGACTTATTTTTAAATTGTAATTGCAAAATGTAAATGCTCCCCAAACTGATGTGTAATTGCTACCCCCTCCACCCCAGCCCTTCCCCTCTGGTGCCAGCTTTGCAAGGAGAGAATTAGAAAATAAAAAGGGGGTGGATTATGTAAGCAAAACGATTTTAAAAAAAGAGAGCGAGAGAGCTAAGAATTTAAGTGAGACAGCTGGTGGCTTCTCTGATTGCCACACTTCCAGCATTAGCTGCAAAAATCGTCCTTGCCGATTACACCCATCCAAGCAATAGTGTCAACTGTATTTAGTCTCCAGGAGATACCATATTGTCACTCACTTGGAAAGACAGTGCAGTAGTCAGCAAGTGTATGGGTGTTGGGGGACTGAAGGAGCAGAGGTCAAGGATATGTTGGTAATATTGTTTCTATTGCATCCATGGAAACCTTCCATTCTCCAGAAAATCACAATCCATGGCAAGAGCTAGCAGTCAGTCAATATATTTGCTCAGTCTACCATGCAGGTGATGGCAGGGGCATGTCCATTCTCCTGGGCACAGACTGGCCTGTTGGAACCCAGCAACTATTCTCTCAGGGCACCACTGACTGGGTAATTCTAAAGAAAGAGCCTCATTTCCACTTGGGTCCTGGAAAAAGTCACTGGCCTTGGGTAGCAACGTATTCTTTCTGGTTTACCGAGTGTATAACTCTTGTCAGGCTTTTCTTTTTCTACTTGCCCTTCACTCTTTCTCAAGCCCTTGTCATAGCCACTGTGTAGAATAAACTCTGCAACATCACTGTGCACACAGGCTCCAAATGTTGCAAAAATTGTCAGCTTGTCCCCCAGATAGGATTGCCCAACTACACTTAGTCCAGTCTTGACCCCTGTAGATAACCTTCCCTCCAGAGGCATAGCCCGCTGGACCATGGTGACCTGCCACCCCCCACTCCCTGGGCTTAATATACCTAAAACACAGAACTCCCCTGAGAGGAAGTAGAATTATTGCTGCCATTCTCTTGCTCTCAGGCATGGGGTCCTCTATGAACATCCATAGCTTCACTAACCACCTGCTTGGGGAGCTGGACCCAGGGACATTCACCTTTGTGGCTAGCTTCCTCTCTCTTCCTCTTCCTCCCTGCAGGGAAACCGGCTTTAGTGATAGAATTTAGCAATGATTACTGTCCCCAAAAGGAGGGCTGATGAACTATAAGGCCATGATGGCCCTAAGACATCAGGGGAACTTAGAAAATCATGGGCAGAAGCCTTTGGAATTGGGGCTCAATCTCACCATAACAGATTCTTCCCCTATCAAGACATACTGGAAAGCAAAAAGGATTGGTTTGGATAACTGGGTTTCCAAAACCTTGGCTAACTGATACATAAATCTATGAGATCATGAATTTCCTTAAGGGGATTAAGAAAACCAAAAACCAAAAAGAAAAAAAAATTCTTACCTGATAAGAGGATCAAATGAGGTTCTCTATTCAAAATGTTCAATACATTCTAAAGAACTATTTCTCCTAGTTCATCAGAAATAAATGGGATGATTTGTTCAACATTCATCAAAAATACTTGGGGTTGCCAGGCACAAGGTTACACCTGTAATCCCAGACACTTGGGAGGCTGAGGCAGGAGGATTGGAAGTTTGAGTTTAATCTGAGCAATTTAACAAGACCTGACTAAAAATAAAAATTAAAAAGGGCTGGAGATGTAGTTCAGTGGTAGCACACTTGGGTTCAATCCCCAGGACCATGAAAAAAAAAAAAATCTGCTTGGGCTTAGAATACAGATCCATGAGTCTTCATCTGACTCTCAGAACCAGAGTCTGACTGTGAGGACCAGGAACTGCGTTTTTCACTGGCACACCCAGATGACCTCAGGTGGTAACACTTGCTCAGAGAATTGTACAAATGTGATCATCAATATGGATGTAAGCAATACCCCCCATCCCTCTGTACCAACAACTCATGGAACTGGGAGAAGAGCAGGGTGTACAGGGAGGAGGGCTGGCCCTCGTCCTCAAGGTGCTAAGAAAGTAAAACATAAAGATATAGGGGGAAAAAAAAAAAGCACAGTAAGTTACTGCCAAAGATTGTCCATGCTAAGTGTCAGCTCAGGTGATCAACTGATCCTAGAGGATTTAGAAAGAAAAAAAGTCTGCCTGGGGGATTTAATTTTTGTGTTAAAGGACAGAAAAGCACGTCTTACTGTTGGGTGATCCTGTAGCCTCTGGGATGTTGTTCAGGAGGCTCACTTCCCTCTTCCTCACTTCCAGCTGGGCCAGAAATGCTTCCTGTCAGCTAAAGCCAGAGCACCTACAAGCAAGGCAGAGCAGCTCTCAGCAGGGATCTCAGAAAACAGGGAACTCAGGGCTCTACTCACTGGCTTCTTTCCTTCTCCCAGGATGTGTTTTATTCCAGAAGGTATAGATTCTATTTCCTCTACCATATTAGCCTTTCAACTCTTTCTTTAGCATGAGTGCTGAGCAACACCCCCCCACACACACACACACATACCCAAGTCATTTTGAGGCCCAAACTGTGTCACAGTTGTCAGTATCCTGTTGCTGGTCTGATTTCCCGACATTTCATGTCTACCTGCAGCCCTCTCCCCAAGCTGCGGGCAGCACTGGGAAGAGCAGCAGAAAACTTGTTGTGAGACTAGTGGAACTCACAGGAAGGGGCATCAGTCATAGCTCTTTCAGGTATGCAGATGAACTTGCAATCTCCATGACGAATGAATGGCAGGCTTTGGCTGGGGGTCTGGAGGGACACTGGTTAGGTTCATGGTGGGTGGGAGGGAGCTTGAGGGTGGCAAGGAGGAATGGGCCAGAAGAAGTGGAGGCCCCAAAGTAGCTTTGGCCACGAGCTGTGGCCCCAAAGTAGCTTTGGTTTCACAACTTACTTAGTTGTAGATTAAAGTGAATTAATTTTTTTCTCAATAATTGAAATTAACTAAGGTGTTTGCATATGGAGGTTGGTTGGTCAGCCCTATCAAAAGGTCAGGCTGGACACTTCCCATCAATTTCTCCTTGTGGACCAGTTGCTAATTTGACTCCAAGGAGGCTGTATTTGGAGTCCAGACGGCAGGGTCACTGGAGTGCTGAGCTGCTCCGGGACCCGGGCTATACTTTGAGGGCAGCATTGGGCAGCACCTCCAGCCCAGAGCCCCAGCCCTGCACATGCATATTTAACATTAACATTTCCTTCCTAGTTAACATCATCTTGGTCTCTCTGTAAAAACACATTTGCACCTTGATAAAGAATGTTATTAACTAGCGACAAGACAACAGGAGGAGCAAAGCAGTAGCCCACACTGGGAGCTGCAGTGGGGAGATGGAATGTATACATCTGCCTGAGCAACAAGGCTTTCCCACCATGTGTGTGTGTGTGTGTGTGTGTGTGTATGCACACATGTGCACACATGACTGGGGAGGTGAGGGTGGTGGAGAGAGAGAGCATCCGGAATCCTAAGGGAGATTTGATTTCCAGTCTCAGGAGAGAGGCAGCTGGGGTGTGCTAGAAGGATGGGATGAACTGAGAGAGCTTCAAGGGCAGAAGGGGAGCTCATGCATCTCCATTAAAAAATGTTCTCTGTATTGAAAGAAAGTCTCCTCTTCCCTTTGCCACACCCCAGACTCCTCCCAAGAGGAGATGAAGAATGTTGAGACACATTTACAGTCACCCTTGGGGACTGCCTGCTCTGGGGTAGCCACATGTAAAAGCCAAACAGATCAGAACCAATGGAGAGGGTAGGCACTGTGAGTGCCAAATTCTGATTCACTCCTTGCATTCTGCTCTTCCTCCATGGGACCTTGTCTGTGGACTTTGTGAGGACTTCCTGGTCTCTGGCCATGTAGACTGCAAACCTAGGAGAGACATCTGGCTCTTCCCTCCTCCAAGCCCCACCTAATTTTCACTTTCATCACTATCACTTCCCATTCCTTTCTAGTTATTTAAAAACTAGTTAGGGTTGAAGATCATCTTTCCTCCTTTCCATTCAATCTGGAGAGGGAGCTCCTCCCTGGTGTGGTGGTCACAGCCTCTCCTTCTCCCTACCATCAGCCATCCAGCACATCTTCACATGATGGCTTCCAGACTGAGCTTCCCAGGCAGGGGATATCATCTTCATCATCAAGGACCCCAAACACACCAGGCATGGCCAGTGAGTACTCACTGTCCTTCATGGGCTTACAGCTGGGCCACTGTGGGCTCTAGGCTCTTTGGTGCCTCCTTGCTCATAGAAGGCATTCAACTGAATTAGACCAAGTGCATCCTTCTGAGTGCCTGTGGTTGGCCCTGAACTGCCTTTTGGATTCATCTTCCACCCTGCACCAGGAGTCTCCTTATCCACCATCCAAACACATAGACTCTCCATACTTGTCCCACAACTTCCTGCTGCTCTATATCTCTCTATTTCTACCTGAGAAGATCCTAGCCATTCTTAAATATTCCAACTCAAACAATCTGGCAGCTGCCTCTATAACTAGGAGTAATTTTTCCTCCTCTGTGTTTCCAAGTGACATGCTGTTTGACCTCTGAAAGTTCTTGCCACATTCCATCTGATGCTCTGGTTAATCTTATATGTCTGACATCCCTTTCTGAACTATAAGCTCCTTGTGGGCAGAAACCTTAATCTCCTATCTCTGTGTAACATTTTAGTCTACAAAGCACCTTCATGTATCATATCTTCTTTAATTCTTAAACTTTAAAGGGAGGCATTTTAACACAATAATTTTTAGTACCTTTAAAAAATAACACATGCTTATTGTAGACAATAGATTAACAAGAGGAAAAAAGTTAAGTTAGTTGTAATCCTACAGAATGAAGATAACCACAGCTAACATTTGGAGTAAAACTCTTTGTTCTTAAAAATAGTACTGTACTATAGTGTTCAGTAACCAGCCTTTCATATTAGGCAACATATCATAAATAATTTTCATGTAATGGAAATATATATTATAATTTTAATGGCTAAATAGCACTGCATTGGGGAATGTACTATAAGTGTTCAAATGTTTATTACATAATGCTTTGTTTCCAGTTTTTGTTATTAATAAATATTCTTGTAGTTTGTTTTTGCTCCAGACTTGATCATTTTTTCTAGGGTAGGTTTTTAGATGTGGATTTGCCAAGTCCAAAGATGTGTTCCTTTTAACGAGTTTTTACAAATTACTCGTGGGAAGGTCACACTCATTTATATCCTACTAGCAGCATATGAGAAATGCCTTTTTCCTTGCTAGAAAGTGGTTTCCATTTTATCAATGTGGACAATGAGGCTTAGGAAAGTCGGGTTTAGGACTTGTCAAGGAAAACTGCCACCAAGGTGGTATATCTACTGACCATAGATATTTTGTTTTTCCAACCTCCACGATTCTCTTTGTTCTTGTATTTCTTAATAATCCAAAGAGAGTACTTGCAGTTGTGAGTGCTAAAGCAATGTTGGGCTTCCTGAAGGGGACAGCAGAGGTGGGTGTGCCCTGAGTGGCAGGTGGGCCGTTCCTAGGAACTTTGCTAATGTCAGCCTCCCCTACCTGGTTCTGGCTGTCTGGAAATATAGCAGATGAGAGAGTTGTTTTGGGGTGGCATTCTACTACTTCCCCCTCCTCTCTCCTGGAAAGGTGCAAATGGCATCAATTTAGCCCTAGTATATTAAGAATCTTCTATGCATGGGAGCCTGAGGATCCAAAGATCTCTCTCTCTCTCTCTCTCTCTCTCTCTCTCTCTCACACACACACACACACACACACACACACACACACCTTTTCTCTCTCTCTCTGTCCTCAAGGTGCTCACTGTAGAGTCGGGGAGATGGATGGATAGGAAATCATTGTCATCTCCCATGTGCACATTATGCTGCTTTTCTGTCTCACCGTTCCCTCCTTTGCTATAGTCTGCAATGGCAAGGGCCTGGGATAGGGCAAGGTCCTTCAGCCTCTGTCTCTTGTCTTGCCTTTTGTGGCCCTAAGGGGTCAGGACTCCCTCTTGCTGTGTCCTGCATCAGCCACATGCTCCTGTCTTTCTGCTCTGCCTGCACTTCTGCCCACTCTCACCCCTGAGACAGCATGGAGGTGTTGGGACTCCTCAGAGAGGAATCACACCAGTGTTAGAGAAGAGAAGCCAACCCGCTTCCCACTCAGGGATTAATAAAATGCACATTAGCGAGAGGAAGGACGATCAGAGGTGACACCAGCATGCCCCCGCACAGGGCGCTGCTTCAGGGCTACAATATACATAGATTTCTCCTTTCCCAGAACTGACATCTAGTGAGTTCCACTTGTTTCCTTACAGCCTGGAGAAAGCTTCAAGGCAGAAATACAGCCTCTAATCTCCTTTCTGTCACTGCCAGTGATTCCTCTGAGCATAAGGAGGGCAACACACGTGTCAGAAGCACCGAGGAGAATGAAAGACAGTCCAGGATTGGTGGGGGTGGGGGGACTGCCAGTGGGTGGCTGCTGTCCTTCCTACTCAGCCCACCTGCCTTGCTCTGGAAGAGGGAGGCCTGGGTGCACCTTTTTAGATGGGGGGTAAAGACCCACCACCATACAAAGTCCTTCTCCTCTGGAGAGGCTAACAGGCAGCTGCAACAATGCTGCCTGGGGCTGGGCTTGAGTCCACTTGACAGACTGATTGGCAGGGCCAGGCCATGGAGGCAGACAGAAGGACCAGGCCTGGAGTGACCTGATGTGATAACCCAGATGTTTCAGGGGACAAGAAAGAAGCAGGAGCTTCAGATTGAAGATAAAGTCCCTTTTGTCCCTACTCCTTCCCCAAGAAATGGAGTGGCTCCACTCCCAGCACTTTAGCTTGGATCAGGCACCTCTCTACCTATCTAAATTCATTTTCCTGGGCACCCTCTGATAGGCCAGGCAGGCTTCCCTAGAGAATGCCTTTTCCTGTTTGGCCAGGTGCACTTAGACCTTTAGACCTTTCACAGATGTATAGGACAGCTTCTAGAATCTGTGGCCAGAGGCCCAGGCCACTTAAGGCACAAACAACTTTAGGGAAGTAGCCCCAACTGGTAGATACTCAAATGGTATCTTCCCCAGGAGCAAAAAAGTACCATGGTCTTGGTCCTAATCAGCTCAAGGGCCTTCAAAGAAACTGCTCTCACTCTGGAGCCCAACCTCTTCGATCACAAACACAGTAACTGAAATGTGGTTTTCCTATAAAGACTCTCCAGGCACTTCCCCAATGCTGGGCATCTGTGAGAATCAGGTGAGCGAGCAAAGGAGACTTGCTGGCTAGTACCCGCTCTGTGACCTTGGACAAAATCCTCCACTAGTCTGTCTGAATTCTGTTTCATCAACATCCTT